CATATCATCCAGACAGTCTACAGGCCAGGCAGGTGTCTCAATACATCTATTTTTCCAAGCTAAATGCTGCTAGTAGGCCTTTTTAAATATTTCTTTCAAAAAATGTTAATATTTATTAACGTGGATTTTTGTTGCGTCTTCTGGGAATTTGTTACAAGTTTTTTTGTAATCAGTAAATTAAACCTTGAATTATATAAATGAAATGTATAAAGTCTTCAGAAAACCTTTTTTGAATGGACTCTTTCAGAATCATTTTATAATCTGAAAGGATTTTTTGAAGACAGTGTCTCAGTTATTTTAGATATGCACAAAATGTATACCTGCATTCTCTAATAGAATAATTCATTGTAAAGCAAAGAAAAATCCAAAATGTAGTCAATATTTTTCTACCCTTGAATTCAACTAATCTTTCTCTGAATGTATGTCATGTATAAACTGTATTCTTAGCCCAGATATGATATTGTTTCTGCCCTTGATCCGGCTGAACTCCTGAATCCCATGTGGTCAGACGCCTACCTGCTACGGCCTCACCGCCCTCCTTACACCCTGCTCTGNTATGACTGCTGGAGTGATTAGTTCTGTTTTTAGCCCTGCAGAGGTCCAGGTCAATATTTGTGTGTGTGTGTGTCACACACACACACACACACACACACACACACACACACACACAAATATTGACCTGGACCTCTGCAGGGCTAAAAACAGAACTAATCACTCCAGCAGTCATAACTCCTTTGTGGCGACTCCTTTCTTTGCTCTCTCTTTAACTATTGGTAATTTTTCTCCACCATTACCCCTTATTCGCTCTTTCATCCTCTCGCCCGTTTACTTTTCATTTGCTCTCTCCTCTCTCTCTCACACCGTCTCGTAAAACCTGCTCTCCTCCCTTCTTCATCTCTTTCCATCTTTCCCCTTCTTTTTTATTTCCCTCCCTAGAGACCCAGTCACAAGCAAACATGTTAAAAGTTGCACATAGAAAATAAATAGGATGTCTAAGCTCAATACACAGGTCGATAATAATTCAGACTTTATGATTTAAGCTTTTTTAATAAGAGAAACAGTCATCAGGCGCTGCCCTTTTAATGGCTTTCTCGTAAAAGGTTACACATATGGCTGCACATTTAAATCACCCAGAAGCAAAAAGACAGGCTAGTAAATGAAAGGTTTTAAGAATGGTGGACAATGTAAAAAAAAAATGACGGCGCTTTGCGGTCCAGGTAAGGGGGAAACGAAAATGAGGGAACCAACAGACAGGAAAGGGGCAAAATGCGTCACAGGCTCCTGAAGCATCTTGGGATAGCTCAATGCGTGGGGGGAAAGGAGGCATGGAGAGGAAAGGGCGCCATTTTGACGCCGATTCAAAAAAAAGTGCCCGTTTATCTTTTGTGCACGCAGTTTCCCCCCCCCCTTCTTCTTCTTTTTTGTCTTTGTGCGATTATGACAGCCATGTGAGGGGTGGGGGCGGGGGGGTGTGAGCTATCCATCTTTTTGCTGATGCGAGGGGTAAAAACTGTGTGATCCTTAGACCACGGGGGTTTTGTCGTGTGTGTGGATGAGGGAGAGAGAGTTAGATAGAGAAAGAGAGAGTGGGGGTGGGGTTTTTCAGTCGAGGGTCATCAATCACCGGCTGGGGTCAAAGAGAAATACGAAGGATTCAGAACCAATTATATCTGCCTTCACTGCACCCCTTCTATACTAACACACACTCGTAGAAACACACACACACACTGATGTACAAGGCGAAATTAGTTTGGAGCGACATTTTCAGGATAAGCAAACACGGCAGACTTAAGATCACAACGAGCAAATAGGCCCAGGAAACGTAATATCAAAATGCGACTTAAAACTTATGAACTTCCTGCATAACATGGCAAACCTTATGGACACACACAAACACACAGGTCGGCTGTGCAGCAGGGTCACATCTTTCTGACATTCCCCGTTCTGGTCAACTTTTGTCTTTTTGTTGTCGTGGTTACACCAGCGCCATGCATGAACACCCTTTGTTTAGTCAAATACCAAAGACACATATTATACACACACACACCCCCCCCCTTTCCCCCTCTTTATTTTCAGAAATAAAACTGGGCTGCAGGCAGGTTTTCCCTCGACTCCTCCATGCCGAGTTAGTGACCCATTTTGGAGGGAGCCTGGATCCCACAGCAAAATAAAATCTAATCAATTTGGATCCTGAGGTGGGAAAACGTTATGATTTGAGAAACCAGCACAGCCTGCTGAGTCAGTCAACATGCTCTAAGACAAGACAATGCCGAATCACCCGACTGCTCTTCTACAACCCACAGAAACAAATCTTAAACATTCACACCCTTTACTACCTTAATTCACATACATGTTACTAAGCAGGGGGCAACATTCACAAGAGAAGGGGTCAGCTTAGGGGTGAGGATGAAAGGGAGGAGAGAGAAGAATAGGGTTAGGGTTATGATGGAAGTCCAAAGAGAAGGCTATTACAAAGGCTTTTTTAAATAAGTTTTAAATGCTGATAAAAGATTTATAATAGAGCTTGCATCAACATTTAAAAACGACCATTCAACTGGCAGATGTTCCTGTTATATGATACTAGCATAGTGCCAACAAAGCCTCAAAACATGGAACGCAAAATACATTATATTAAAAAATGTGAAGTTTTAACATTTTAGTATTACATTGTTGTTATATCAGCTCTTATAATACTAATGTTTTAAGTTGAGGAATAAAGCCTGCTTTGTAACAACACATGTAATAGGTTGTTGCACCAGTGCTATGAGCGCCACACTACATTAATATAAATAAATTACGCAATATATAATGCAAAAATGTCTATCACAAGCAAACATACTGAAACACGTGTCTCCACTTATACACAAATACTTGATTAATCATATTTCACTGCCATAGGTCTAAGCCAGTGTTTCTTAAACTTTTTCATACCAAGGACCACTTAACCAATAAAAAAAACACTCGCGGACCCCCTAACTCCACAAATATCCGAAATCACATCGTTTTTCTAGAACAGATTACAAATCGCCTGAAAATGGTACAAACAAGGGGCAACATGTGTGATGAAGGTGTTGCGCTGGGCTATATCATGCAATCGAAAGTGAAACTTAAGCTCGCTCCATTGCGGAGATATTCCCGCGAGAGTGCGGAAAACTTAAATTCATTTATTTATTTCAAATGTGAAATTTTACCAATATACTCACGGACCACTAGGGGGCGCTCACGGACGCGGACCATACTTTGAGAAGAACTGGTCTAAGCTATTGCTACAATGACTCTCTTAAAAGGAAATAATGTAGGCCAGTCTTCAAGTATTTCCCGGTAAAAATAATACATGTTTAGCCATTGTGATATAAAAACCCATTCCCTAAGTTACACATCGACACTGAGTATTACAAACTATTGACTAAAATAACTGACAGGACCAAAGAATCCTGTACACTGTTGATCAGATAAAGGATGAAAATGTAATAAATAAAGTGAATACAAGTGATCGACAGTGTGAGGGATTCTTTGGTACCTTTCTACCTAGTCAAGACTGTAAAGATGATACGTAAACCATCGCAGTGAATCTCATATTAAATTTAATTTACTTCACCAAAAAATGGTAAAGCAGCTAAAAAACATTTATTTCAAAATGATGGTGGACTGAGTGTTGATTTGTGTGAGGAAATAAAAAAATCTTAAGACAAATAAAATTAAAGGATGGATGGGGCGAACATGATTTTTTGGTTGAATGCAAAGAAATATGCATTAAAAAGTTGTAACTTGGCAGCTGAGATGAACACATACCACATATAAACTATGGCAATTCTAAATAAACACTCTTTAGCAGCCTTTCTTATACTTGGGTTTCCTGATTCGCAGCTATCTGACATTGTGTCTCTACATCTAAATCTTGTGGCTGTCACTTCATCACATTGAGACTCTTATTCTGAGGGTGGTACTCACAAGGATCAGGTTGGCTTGGAAGGGTCACATGATGATCCTTCACACCATTGAAAAGCAGCTCTGCTCCACCCCTACACAAACAAACAGTCAGATTGGTCAACTATCAGTTTTTGTGGTATTTGTCAAAATACCATCACAAATGTAATATGTTCATGCTACAGAGATGTTCTGGCCCATACATCATATTCTATAGACTTAAGAAAATATATATCCTTGTTCAGTAGAGAGCAACACAAATGCCACCAAAAAATAGCATAGGTTGAATGTGTTTTTCAATGAAACTGAGAACAATTATGTAAAAATGTGTATTCCCTCTTACATGACAAATCGTATAGTAATAGAAATCAGTCAAAAATAATCGAAAGATTTTTCTCAACAATTTTAGCCAAACATCATTTATATTTATTTGCATGAATATAATACAGTAATAATAATAGATTGTATTTAGAGGTGCCTTTCAAAGCACCCAAGGACACCTTACAATTCAAAAAATATTCTAAAACAAATTAAAAAAAGTAAAAAGGACAGTAACAAGGGACATGTAGCACTACAATAAATAGGCTGATCTGAACAGGTACTCAACAAGTAACAGTACTCTGAGTTGTCTGTATTTAATTAATTGAATTAGCTTAATCTATACATTTATGTCAACCAAAATGTCTCAATGTCAGTCAAAAAGAACTCACTTCAGATTAAAACGCTTTAATAATTGGAAAAAGTCTTAATGATTGGAAAAGATTACAAAGATAACTTAAAATCGAAGAAAATATTAATTATTATTGCAAAATCCATTCTCCACACCTTAAATGTTGGGTTTGTCTATTGTCAAATTACAAGTTTTGTGACCTTCTGTACGCTTGTTGAATAAGGAAAGACCCTTCCCATGGATTACTGTCATCTTTCTGATGCAGATCTAACCTGAGTCTAAGGTCTATAGATTCCATGGAGGGTGGTTCTCTTTTTGTTTTGGTCTCTGATAGTGCTCAGTCAAATCTCTGGCATGTTTTGCAGACAGACTGTACATCTGGCTGAGCTGCAGGAGGAGCCAGGAGACAGGGTTAGAGCTGCTGCAGAGGGACAGTCTCTGAGCTTCTCATGGAGGAGTGAGAAATAGCTTTAGTTTCACAGGCTGCACACGTTAGCATAGCCAGGAAGAAACTCGTCAGGCAGCTCTGTTGCTGTGCACTGTAAGAGGAGTATTGTATCTCTTATTATTTTAAATAACGTCATCTGTTAAGCAATCACACAACCTCTCGTTGTCTTGTTAAATTAGAAAGAAAGAGACAACATAACGGTGGATAATGATTCATAAACAAACTCAAAACTAGCAGGGAGCTAGCTGTTACCCGGATGTGATTTGCTTTTTAAATGACAAAAGGCTAACGAAAGAAAAGCAAACTTAAAGCAGCATTCACCCGATGTATTTTTTCCTTGAAACTGTTGAAAGACTGCTAAAACAGGCACTCTTAACCATCATAAAGGCTTTTAAATGTGCTTACCCAAACTCCAGGTGAATAGCTACGGGCGCTGCCATATTGTCGGCACATGCAGGAAGTTGTGGCGGGGAGTCGGAAGTGACGCATTTTGATATAATTTCCATACACGGGGAAGCTTTTTATGAAATCAGTTAAAAGAAAGATTATTGTGTAAACTTAATCATAATATCGAAACTCTCTTTATGCATTTGGAACATCATAAATATGAAATCGAATTCATTGTGAAATAGTTGATAACATGATTACATTTTACCTGTGAAATACAAAGATTTAGCTCCAATGTTTATGTAGACCTATTTTTATTTGAACTTAAATAATTTATTGAGACTTTCAAACTTATAAACACTAACAAAATAAACAAAACTGTAATTCTGTATTATGAAGTCCTCAAAGAAAAAATGTTGGTTGTTATCTTTACAAGATAATAAAAAAAAGACGATAAAGAAATAAAAATGCAAATAAAAAAATCTTAGACAGAATGACAGAATATGAAAAAAAAGAAGATGTTCAGTTTTCAAAGAAGAAAGGGGGTCAAAATGAGTGCAAGTCTAATATCCTCTGGACCTTTGTTCCAACTCTGTGGTGCATAACTAAATGCTACTTGTTCATATTACCTTGCACTGTGGGAACAGTAAGCGACGCTGTAACTGATAATGTGTGAAGGTGCCCCCATTTATGAACTGATATTTCCCTGGACTTAACTTTATTTTAGAAAATTATTATATTGGAAAGTCATTAGTAACCTATGAACAGTGCTCTTTCTCACACACACACACACACACACACACACACACACACACACACACACACACACACACACACACACACACGCCATATGCATGTCTGCATGTATTTGCATAGTGTTTGCCAAAATGAAAGTGTGCAGAAGCATGACATGAGTGTGTGAATACACATCTGTCTCTCTCTGTCCCTCTCTCCCTCCTCACGTACATGCTCAATCATACTGGTGACAGTCCCAGTCCCAGTATACAGGGACGCGAGGATGAGGTGGGGGTCGGTCAGAGGCTTGAATTGCAAATCCGCTGCCTTCTGTTGGCGTCCAAGCCTTTGCGGGCCCTTTCCTGTCTTCATTCATGTGGTAATGAGGAGTCAGTGCAGGGGCAGATAGACAGATCGACCAGGGGCCTGGCGTGGCAGGGGTGAGGGGAGAATGAGGCGAGGGTGGGGAGACAGGCGGGAAAACTAGGGGGTCCTCTCACTGTGGAGGCCGCAGTTGTAGTTTTGAAAGATGATGAAGACATGACCAGCCTTTCGTTCTGGGATGAGGAGTATACAGGCAGCTCAGAGGGAGGCAAACAGGCAGAAGATGGGCTGTGGGTGGGATTTTCATGGCTGTGAGCATGAGTTGCCCAGGAATGATCTCACTGTCACTGGGTGTCACATCATATTTGCTAAGCTGCTTTGAGGTTCAAGTAGCTGCCGATAGTAAGCCATGCTTCTGTTGTTCTGTTGTAGCCTTTATGACTTGGATAAGTGTTCACAAATAGTTACAATACTTATATTTAATATGATTTGATCAGGTGTACATATTCCGATTCAAATCGTGAGGATTTTTGAGATATTTTAATATTTTAAATGTATTCAGTTGAAGACAGTTTGAAATACCCATTAAACCTTTGTGGCCACGCTTAATCGTCATGTGTTTGTAAAATTTGAACACACGATGAAAGGAAATGTTTTTGCCAATATTTATATATTAAATGTATCCTCCATGGACTCAATAAAAACATAAAACACTTCCTAATTCATGAATCCAAACTATTTTCTTTGATTATTTCTTTATTGACTACTATTTAATGACAAATACAATGTTTTCTCATTTTATCGGGTTGGATTTCCTAAATCCCACATACATTTCAGCCATCTTAATCAGAACCTTCTATATTCAAGGGTCAATGTGATTTTAGACATTTCTTCAAATAAAGAGAGTGTCATATCTGCTTGTAGATGGACGTCCAAAGTCATTGCTACGCTGCCAGGCACCAGCTATAGCGTAGCCAGGGTCACACATGATCAGATGACAATGACCCACACAATGGATTAGCTATAAAAGGACTGGGGGGAGAGATTAGGGGAGAATTGATGACGGTTGGCTGGCTGGTTGGCTGGCTGGCTGGCAGGCAGGCCTCTGAGATCTTGGGTCTGTTTCAATGAGGAACATAAAGAGCTGAAATTAACATGTACCCTGATACCAAGCAGGGAGAATCCTCTTAGAGATTACATCCATAACATGCTACGCCTATGGAACTGTATGGAGAGGGGAGACAAAGAGCAGAGCGAATGATAATTTTCTGTCATAGCAGATTACAGAGCATCCTATTCTCTTCTATTCTGTCTGATTCTACTGTATTTTCAGGTCTACGTTTTCACTTTCCTTATGTCACAAATTCACTACTTTCTGTGTTTCCCCATGAAATGTTTCACCTGGAATAAACAGGACCCCCCAAACCGTAAAACAGGTGCTAGGCCGCACGACTGCTTCCTTCATGAAGGGGGTAGGCGGCAAGAGAGACAGCAGTATACCTGCAACACACATTGACAAAAGCACATGTTTAAACGAAAACACACACATGCACGGTATGGGTACACACATGCACACACACAGTCCATCTGTCTTTGTCTCCCTCCCATTGCCATCACGGTGGGTCTGTCTGCACAACCATGTGTGGTGCATCAAACACGCATGCTCAATTTATAGGGTGCAATTTCAGTTAAGCATGAGATATTGATATGCATTATGAAAATTAAAGACACTAATAGTAGCTTAAGGGGGGTCCGTGATTGAAACAACTACTAGATTAAGGATGTTCTGGCCTTCTGGACCGGAACCAATAACACTCAGGACTGCCAGCCACCTAACCAGGAACCAGGATGTTCATGATTGCAGCTAAATGGGGAAGGTAAGACTGTACACAGTGTATATGAGAAGGGTCAGCTTTGATTTAACAGTCAAATGAGGCCCCCTACTGGCTGCCAATGTGCATTGCAAGATACTGACTCCTTGAGGAAAATGCTCTTCAAGTTAACACTTTACAAAAAACTAATTTGTATCATTAATAAATGGTCAATTTAAAGTATGTTAAACCCTGGTTTAAAAATGACTTCACTGTTAAGGTTATTGTTTTTACTTTTAGAATTATAATTGCTTTAATTTACGTTTTATTTTCTATTATTTTGTGTAATATGACAATTCATTTGAAAAAGTATATATTGAATCATAGCTGATACACAATACAAATCACCAACATTTTGAATCCATAATACTATTAAACGTGATTTGTAAAATATCTATAAATTGTTTCAGTGCAACAGGAAATAATAGTAGTTGGTTTCAAATATATTATAAACCATTACAAAAGATAATAATGTTAAAATAAGTAGCAACTATGTTTGAATTAACTTTTGATTTACTACTTATTAATGATGGTGACCAAAAAGTGTTACCACCTTTTCTACTAATCAATTCCCCCCAAAAAACAAACCAAAGCTTTAGACACGTCACACGAGCAATCATTTTATTTGAAAAAAAGTGAATTGCTATATACAGTACGTAAAAAAACATGAGATCATTCCTGAAACATTTCTTGCCTTTTTGCTTTTCACGTTAATCTCACGCAGTCCCGTCATAAAAAACAGGAGAATCCACACACTTTCAGAGAGCATTCCTGTACAGCATTCAGCAGAGGACAAAGAAAAAACGTTTACATCATCAATTTTTCCTCTTCAGTGATATCAGATACCAAACCTAAACCAGTTAGTATGATACCTAATAACATTGATATCAAACATTGGTTTGATACACACAATACATGTGTTTTTGTATGTGTTTTCCTGTTCGTTTTACAATTCATGATTAAGTGTGTTTTGCTGACTTAAGACCGCCCCCTGTTGGACAGCAGTGGAAACTGGCAAATGGCTCCCACCTCATATGTACAAATTCAGACTAGAAAGTGGGAAAATCAAACAACCATTAAAGAATCTCCACTATGCAGCTCTGGGGCAGGTTATTTTAAGAATGATATCCGAGTCATTGATATCAGTTTGATTATCGGTTTGGCTAAGTTCAGGAAGAAGAAGGATATGCATTTTTAAAGAGACTGATGTTGGGGGAAAACAGTGAATATTTTTCTGTGTGTCTCCGCAGGGGTCTCAGCCCTTAGTTGAAATGATTGCATAGCTCTGAGAGTCGGCTGCAGCCCTCCCAAGCCCACATGCTGTAAAAACAGCAACCAAAAAGTAATTCCATAGCAATAAAATGATTAGCTCTATTGCTGAAACACAAATTCAAAACATACAATCAAAAGACATTTTCTAAAACAGGGCTATGTCATTATTTGACTCAGTTTGGAGAAAGTAAATCATTGGATTTTGAAACTGGAAAAATAAAGCTTAAAGAAAACATTTCTCTACGTTTGGTGTCGTTCAAGATTATCCACAGACCTGAAGGATCTTCACTGTATCATCTGCATATTATCAAGCTTGACACACATTTAAATTATTAGTTTAAAGCAACATTTTGCTTGGTATAACATTTATAGCCGCATGCATCAACCATTTCAGATATTTCTGCAACTTTACAAGCTGAAGCCACATGTCCTTAAATGTTTTTATACTAAGTGAAACATTGCTTAAACAAAATTTAAAGAGTATATATCCCATTTTCTCTCGGTCTCTTGGTGTCCTTTTAAGCTAAATTATGTGCACAAAACACACAGTATCAAATGTAATAGTCAAACAGCTACAACAGAGGGAAGTTGCTTTGTTCTTTTAACATTTTTAACAATTCACAAAGTCCTCATATTGCTGCATTGCTTCTGCAAATGTTTCATTTCTGATACATTTATTAATGCATGCCTGATACATTTATTAATAGGATTCAATGGGACTGCTTGATGCATATTTAATGAGGCTTTATGAACATGGCTCCTTCAGAATGAGGACTGACAGATTCACATCTGGTGAAGCAACATCCATGATGATTAGATATCCTTTGATCATAACAAATAAATAAGACAAAACTAAAAATACATAAAACATTAATGAAGTACAAAAATGAAGGAATGTAAACACACATACACTCACTCACTCACGCAGACGAAACATCTATATATGAGCCATGTAAGTTATTGTTAGCATTTCTGCGACAGTGTGTGACAGACTCTCGTTGTTTGAAACAAGAGGGTGTTTTATTGGAGCAAAGCGAAGCTCCTTTTGGCCGTCGGGACGCATCATGTTACTGTTGGTATCACGCAGAGGAGCTCGTCACCCATCTCCTCCATCTTCTTTTCCACTTAGCTTGTCTTCTCCGATGGCATTTGAATATTTTAGCGCTAAGTGAGGAACTCCACAGTGAGTGCAACGCGTGTTATATGTGACACCCTCTTTTCTGTTTTGCTCACTGCACATGCTCCGTTAGCTGCCTCTTCATTCGCTCTCACTCTCCTCTCAGTGTCCATGCTGGGTGTCGGGCAGGTGCTATAGCTCGCTGTGGCGCACAGCAGGCTCCAGCTTGTATGAGAGCGCAGTGAGGACCTTGTCGAACTTCTCGTAGCGCTCTGATTGGCTGCCCTCGGAGCCGCGGCTGCCCCAAAGGAGACGCATCTGAAACTCTGTCTGGAAGATATCGTGGATTTCTGCTCGCTCTTGGAATCCTGGAGAGGAGAGAAGGGAATGTTATTCTTTGTAGATCCGTTTTATTTATGATAATCATGGTTAAAAATGAAAAAAAAATGGTTTTGTTCAATCATCATTAAATCATTCCTTGTGACAAAATAATATCAAATCAAAAGGGTCCACACACTAGCCTTTACACTATATGAATGGGTGCTTCTTCCTTATGTATGACCACTTACTATCAAATTACAGACTTCCCACATTCCAGATCAAGGGATAACACTTGAAGCTATTTGCCAATGAAGACTGTGGGATGAGGTTAAATGTACTACTCCCAAGGTCAATAATTAATATCCATGCTGAGATGCTCAATAACAAAAAAAATCTCACTTCCTAACCTTACACTTTAAATTAACTTTATCTAGTTTTTTTTAACTGTATGAACTAAACATCTCAACTTTGGCACATAGGACTGTTAATGATGGGAGCAGACAGAGGTCAGGCTGATCAATAGTGAGATATAACAGGAAACAGAGATGTGAGCTTATAGCTATTGACATACTGTTCAATAAAGCGGTAATGGCTTCAAACTGAGAACCATTGGGAAGGTATTAGGGATCAATACAGTTAACCTAGTAGCAGCACACGCACATAATCAGTGATACTGAACAATCATCATTAACAGCATGAGTAACACTGTACCAGCTGTGAGAAAATTGCTTCTTTTCATAATTTCTTTATGGCTGATGTTGACGGAATAATTAACGAGGTTGTATTAGTGAGCTTAAACACAACAGCCTGAGAAGTTTTCCAATTTTTCTTTAGCCATGTTTGCATTTCTTTGAAGCTCTATATTTACACAACAGTGCTTTAAATCAAATGCCAACATTGGAATGACAACATGGTCTCAATGGCAATGCTAACATGCTAATGCTAGTAGGTACAATGTCAACCATGTTCTTTATTCTAGTGTTAAACACAACAGCTGAGGATGATGTGAATGCCGTTAGTTTGGGGATTTGGTCATTAACTGAAGTATTGGCTGAACAACATTTTCTAGAAAAGTGACAAAGTTAAGTTAGAACAATTTAGATTTGTTTTTATGGGGGCTGTCACTGCATTTATCGTTTAGGTATTATTAGTGTCTATACAAACAGTTGATTACATTTTTCAGTCTGTACATGTGGGGGACAGCTCAATCTGTTAAACAAATCAAAACTTCCATACAGAGACAACCCCCCAAGCATGGCCAAAAACAACACCGATGCTGTTTATGAAAATACACTTCCACTGACTTCATTTGGCCTTACCCTGCAGTTTGGTCTCACTGTTGGTTCTATAGATCCCCCCGTGATGTGCGATGGTACGAGCTGCTTCTAGGTGGTACATGACAACGTCTACCCCCACCTCTGCACTCTCCCAGGGCTCCAGCGCATCCCCTACAGCCATGCCTCTCTCCAATAAGGACAGGACAGGAATGATGTGGGGGAGGGTAGTGTTGGCCAGGGCGTTCGACTCTGTGACCAAAGAAGATTTGATCGTTTAGAGTTGTAAATAAATACAAAGTTTAAATACAAACTTACCAACAAATGCCAACCATGTAAACTGTGTTCTCACCTTTGCCATCGTTCATATTCTTCATGAAAGGTTTGAGTTTCTTTTCATAAAGAATAGCGCCCTCTGTGTGTCTCTGGCGTAATGTCACCCATGTCTGCTCAAGACGGGAAATCTGAAGCAATGAGAGACATAATTGCATTTTAGGAAATATATTTGATAACAAACGTTCAAGTTTTTCTGTTTATTATGGAGAATTGTATCTGTATCATTCTTACCTGCGGCAGCTCCAGGGCTCTCATCACAGCGGCAAAGCCAAACATGTTGCCAAGGTTGCTTTTCAACTCTGCTGCTAATTGGATGGTTTTGTGGAGCAGGGCCGCCCTCTCCTCTGTGCTTCCTGTGCAGCCGAGCAGGTCCACTGCCATCATGATAGACATGGTGTAAAACCTGAAAGAAGAATGTGCCATTCAATGAAATGCATCCATAAAAGTTTATTACTGCTGCTGATACGAAGTAAGATGATGTGAATCTTTGAAAAGCCACTTTTGAAATTTACATTTTGGCAGACGGTAGAGTGTTACAAGATTAGAAAGGAGGAGGAGGGATGAAGTGGAGGATCAGAAGTACAGATAATCAATAGCTGAATTAATGAAGGAGTTAATGAGTGATGTATAAAGGGGGGGAAAGTGTGTTTTTACCTCTCCAGTAGGTCAAGTCTTAGCTGGTGTCCATGTGGAAGTGTCAGTAACTCCAACCCTGAGGACACTCCCATCATCCTTTGCGTGTCTGAGGATACGCCTAATATTCTAGCCAGCTGTCCATGAGAAAAAAAATATATATATTAGTTTTATGGTGATATGTTATTGTGCTTACATCTATGTGTTCCTACATGCAAGCATAATGGTGATTACCTTCAGTGTCTCTGGGCATTTGCTGTATTTGATTATGCAAGTAAGCATTTGTGCTTTGTATGCCTATGTAAGCATGTGTGCTTGCGTGTGTGTGCATAGCCGTGGGAACATGTTTCAAATGGTGGGTGCTGTGGGGATGACACCAGGGCCGGTTCAGACCAATTTGCTGTCCTAGGCAAGATTTTAGCTGGCAATGAAAAACCTCTACAAAGGACCAATACACTACAAAAAGAGAAACGTATTGATATAGTGGACAGCTTACATAAAAAGGCTTCAAATGTATTTAGTATTGCATGAACATATTTTAATTGGGGTGTGGACTTCACATCCTCTAGGCCTAGGGGGGTCCGCGGGTGCCCCCCGGAAAGATTTTTTTAACATTTTAAAGTAAAATGCTTCAATCTGGTGCACTTTGAGTGCCCAATTACTAGAGACTGATTTACTGTAGGGGGTACAACTCTAAACACCCGTATGAAAAAGATCGGTTTGCCTTTTATTAATCGAATAAGTATGTGAACATTTCCAATAACCTATAATAGCCAATAACAAATAAATGTAGGCTAGCGTATTTTATTTTTGTTGTTCATTTATATCTTATTTTACCAGTTAACATTTATTTATTTATGCATATTTTTAAATCTCTCCAGTTTTAAACGATATTTTTAGTTTACTGTCCTATAGTATACATTGGAATGATTTCAAACCTGTTTTTATTTATCCTAATAATTATAAAGGTGTGCCGTGGAAATATTTGTTTACATAAATTGCGATCAAAATGTTTGAGACCCACTGAGATAACTTAGACTAAAGTGAACTATCTAAACCCTCAGAGTCCTTTACCTCACTGAGCCTCTCAGTCTGACAGGAGAGCTCTCCCTCCACATTATTGTAGAAACAGCTTCTTACATCCGTTAGCGCAGCAGAAGCACACAACAATCCCCGCCGGTTCTCTCTCTCTCTCTCTCTCTCTCTCTCTCTCTCTCTCTCTCTCTCTCTCACACACACACACATACACACTGGCTGTGAGCTGCGGGTGCCTGATAAGCCAACATCCCCCACTTTCATCACTTACAGCGCCCATCGTACTGGGCAAATGGAAAATGTAACCGGGGTGAAAAGGGTGTTATCTTTACTTAATTATGAATGTTGTTACATCAAGGCTGAACATTCGTTTTTTTTTATTATATCTTGTGGAAGTGCAGATCTCCTGTCCTCCACCAGGGGGTGCTGCAGCACCCTCAGCACCCCTACTTCCCACGGCCCTGTGTGTGTGTGTGTGTGTGTGTGTGTGTGTGTGTGTGTGTGTGTGTGTGTGTGTGTGTGTGTGTGTGTGTG